CCTGCACCAAACATGATGTCCTTCCTCAGGGACTGGTCTCTCCTATCAGGATGTGCCAGGTAGGGAAGACACAGTCTCCACATCCTTGCCTCTACGGCGCCCTCTGGCCTTACGCCTTCCAATACAGCTCGGTTTGCTTCTCAGCAGGCCGTGGGGCTTGCAATGTCCTTCTCCAGCACCGCCCTTCAAACCGCGGATTCCTCTGCGGTCTTTCTCACCCAATGTCCGGCTTTCACGTGCATTCTCACAGGGACGGCCGTGCCTTCATGCGACGGACTCTTCACACGTGCTCTCTAACCGGAGCTCTGGTCCAATCCAGAGCCACATGGCTCTGCGGGATGTGCCTGCCTGAACCCCAGCTTGCCACCTGAACCCTCTGCAACATGGAGCACCACCAATTAAGGCCGCAGCAGTAAGATCAGCAAGATGAGCATTCTTCTGTGGCCTCACCAAACACCTTTCACACAAATGGAAAGAAGGCCATTTGGAAGACAGGGGTCATAGTGCAAGTTTAATAATGAACAGATTGGAAATGTAAAAACTCCCAGGAGAATTGGTGGGGTACAGTGGAATTTTGCCAAGGGTAAGGTCAGCAGTTGGAGAAAGAAGAAACCATCTGTTCCCATAAAGATTTACCACCTTAGAGACCCACCGAGTCTACAGTCACCATGAGTGAGTCTCATCAGTGGCAGGGGCTTGGTTTGGTTACATGATCTTCATATTTGTACTTGGCAAACAACACCGTACCTTTGATGTTTTTAGTGAACGCCATAGAAGTTAAAAACAATACAAAATAAACAAATAACCTTCTCATGAGAAAGTCTTCCAAGGAGCAAAAACTTACCATTTGCCACATACACCACACCCCCTCTCCCCCCTGGCCCCCTCGACACATGAAGGATCCCATCTCTGTCTGCGTTTGCAAAGGAGAGTTTTATTCCACCCCTCCCCCACCTCCCCCACAAAACCCTCAAACTCATTGCCATCCAGGCAAGTCCAATCTAACTCATAGTAACCCTAGAGGGGCAAGCGGAACTGCCCCTGTGGGTTCCTGAGAGTGTAAATCTCCACGGGAACAGAAAGCTTCATCTTTTCCCCAGGGAGCAGCTGGTGAATTCAAACCGCTGACCTTGCGGTTAGCAGCTCAGTACATACCCTGCCATGCCACCAGGGCCTCTTATATCATCTCTTTAAAATCTGCTTTATCAAGAAAGCAGTAGGGGCCCTGCTATAGGCACCCTCCAAAATCGCTCTTGTTTTTCAGGTGAGGTTACACAGCAGCTGTGATGTACCTCCCCTCGCTCAGCTCAAGTTCTGGGACATGCGCACTGCCTTTGTAAGCTGCCTCCAGAGACCACACGGCAAAGTAACAGGGTCTCTAGCCAGCAGTCAGTGGGTGTGCTTGGAAGCAGATGCTCTGAGGCCTGCGGACAGCAGTCCTGATAGAGCGCTGGACTGAGGGACCCTGAGCTTCTAGCCCCCAGAAACACGAGGAGAATATTTGCCACTTTAAGCTGAATTTTAGAGCAAGTGTTACACAGCAAGACAGACCCCATTGCAAACACCATCGTGGGCATGCTCTCTACACGGTCTCTTGTGCTTCTTCGGCCCTTTTGCCGCCCCCCCCCCCTTTTTGCATCTCAGGTGGTGCAGCATATTCTATCTTCTCTAGCAGATCCTATCCTTGGCCAGGTTTTTGTTTTTAATTTATCTGAAGCCCTCTGAATATCCCAGAACTCCCTCTCTTCGTATCCAAGTTGTCCAGCATTGCTATCTGTGCCAGTGAGGAAGAGCAGCTCTCATCAATGGTGGCATCTGATCCGCTTCTCATTAGCCTCGCTGCGGTCCCCCTCTGCAGAACTACTCAGCGGTGAAATTAAAACATTTGTTACCTCCATTGCTCAGTAGTGACGCGAGGGTGACCATCTGGAGAGAGGAGCAGGAGAGGGCTGATGAGAGGCCCAGGCAGGCGCAGTGCAGCTGCCTGGACAGGCCTGCTCAGCACTCCTCCTTCCAGAACCTACTGGGGACCTGCACCACGGCCAGTGCTATAGCTGTTATTCCATCACCCCCCACAGTCGCCTGGGGCTCCACAGCCCAGGAAACCCTTTTTTGAAATAGTGTACCTGCCTAGATGGAACGGTGTCACCTACTGCCACATGCTGGGCTCCATTCATTGCTACCATGTGGCAGAACCCCAAGAACAAAAGCCACACGGAGAGTGGTCAGAGGGCTAAGTCTTCTAACCAGATATTTCTCACTCCTGTGATTCTCAGTGCTGAATGTGTATTAATGAGTAGTCATCTAAGGAATTAAAGAACTTTTCCACCTGCGAGTGGAAATATTGGTCAATTAATCTAAAGATGAGGGAGATTCCTGGTCCTCTACCACACACAAAAAATGACTCTTTCCTTTACACGCAAGTCTTTTGATGGAATTTGTTTCCCCACCTGTTCACCTGCTGTCTTCTGATTTGTTCAGGTTGCACTATAGTCTCTGCCGAGCAGAACACAACAGCTCAGCCCTGTCCCAGCTGCTGTGCACACATGCCGCCGACGTGGTGCCGCACCCTTCCAGGAGCCAGCTGTAGCCGAGACTCAGGCAGACTAAAGAGTTCAACCGCAGTCTCGCGGGCGCGGCTTATCAGCAGTGGCCTGGATGAAACACTGCCATTTCCTAGACCTGATTCTCCCCTTCACCCAGGTCTATGGGGCAGACTTGCGCGGAATCCAGTGCCTCTTCTTCTTTGCCTCAATGATTACTATAGAGCCTGTCACTGACTGAGATTCCCACTCCATAAAAACAGCGGTTCTCAACCTGTGGGTCGCGACCCCTTTGGGGGTCGAATGACCCTTTCACAGGAGTCGCCTGATTCATCACAGTAGCAAAATGACAGTTATGAAGTAGCAACGAAAATAATTTGATGGTTGGGGGGTCACCACCACATGAGGAACGGTATGAAAGGGTCGCGGCATGAGGAAGGTTGAGAACCACTGGCCTAGAGCATCGAGCTCTTCGATACGACCATGAACCTTAGACTTGGTAATTAACAGAGAAGAGAGTTAGACAACCACCATCACAGAAAGGAGACTTCCAGTCTCCTGTGGACCTGTCAACGGAACGCTACTAACTCACCTCTCAAGAGAGTCCATTCCCCAACATCCTTAGTGACCCTAGAGCACAAGCCCAGGCCCGGCTTTGCTGACCACCTCCAGATGGAGACAGGATTGAAAACACAAGACTCACGGGGAGGAAGAGATGCGTTTGCCCTTGAAATACAGCTGAAGGAGAAAACAACGCTATGGGTCTCCGGCTGTGGGAGTCTCTCTGGAGCGTGAGGTGAAAGTGGCTGGAGCAGTAAGGAAATCACCAGAAGTGCTCTCTCCTTATTCTCGTCAAAGACGCGCTGTGCTGTCTATGCATGTCATTAATTAAGAGCAGGTTGTGGTTAGGAATAGAGAAGGAAGACAATGAAGAGTTTGAGCATGAACGTGGGGTGGAAAGTGTAAGGGGCTTCAACGGAAAGTTTTGCTCAGCTCAGCTAACAAACCTGTTAGGTCAGCACCTGCTTTTCCAGCTCGGATAGGATATTACATTGAGCTACAGACAGGCAAAGCCACTGCCCCCTCCCAAGAGATTTCTCCGTAATCAGCTTTGGCTTTGGTTTCACACAATTCAAGCCGCCCAGCCTCGCCTCATGCTGCAGCAATCACTGCTAGGGAATGGCTTCGCCACCTTTCATTATCTAGCTCAGAAATACAAGCAACAAGAACCCGGTGCAAGGTGTCTTCCCTGACACTGAGCCCAGGTCACTGCACAACCCCCCCCTCCACGTCTCAGGAGGGCAACAGACTGGCCTATCTGCCACCAGATCTGCAACGAGCCTCCAAATGCCACATCCAGCCGTATATCCCTTTGCATGTGAAGCCCTGCCAAGTAATGATAACTGAACAATTAATTAAATACTCCTTATACAATGCTCAAAATCATGCAAACTAATCATCAGTGGCAAAAAGTGGATACCTGGGATGGGCAAGTGGAAAGCATAGGACAGCAGGATGACAGAGGGACAACAGGACACTTTGGAGAGTGATGGATATGTTCACAATCAGGATTGTTGTAATGGTTACAAAGCTGAGGTCACACATCAAATTGTACACTTGAAATAGGGGCAGTACATCACTCAGATCTTAATAAAGTTGTACACAGAGAGAGAAGCGGGGGATGGCCTGATTATCAAACGGTTCCTCCTTAACTCTGTATTTTATTTCATTTGCTCATATTTTCCTATCACAGCTTTTCCCTTTTGCTTTCTGAAGCCAGTGATTTATTTCGGAAGACAACAGGATTGGTTTGGATGCAACCACCCGGTGGTTTGTAGAACTCTTACTCTGACCTCTAAAACCAAAGGAGAAACAACATAAGCCTATAATGATCCCCAACAGTGCCTCCCTGTTCTTTCAAAGCACTACTAATGGTGTTACTATCAAAAGATTAGGACAAGAATCAAGACGAAAGAGATAGGATGTCGGATGACTCCATGTATAGCAGATATTCCCTGAGCACCTGTTCTGTGCCAGACATTTTTAGGCACGAATGTAAAAAAAAAAAACCACAAAAAACCCCAAGCACAATTCCAGCTAATACAGAAGTGACACTAGTCACGGAGGGTCTAAGGAATGATGTGGTGCCTCTCTGACCATAATTACCGTAAGCGGAAAAGTCTGAAGAGAGAAAATGAAGTAGTGTGGTGTGTCTATCAGCTTCCATGACAACAAACTACTAATAAAAGTAGTAGATTGAACAGTCAGAGGAGAGCATCCAAGTGCTGAACGATGAAGCCAGACCTCCTTCCACACAATCAGTACAAAAAGGGCCAAGGAGTTACAATCCAAACCCTGCCTAAGGGAGTCGCCCGGTTTAGTCCAGCCTTGGAAAACAAGTGTATCCTCCAAAAAGAATTATAGCCTCTGTGGACTGGCCACAGCTAAAACAAACACCAGACATTGAGTTTGTTATTAAAACAGTAACTGTCGCGCGCCGTCGCTGCCTTGCCTCTCCGGGGTTCTGGAGCGTCTCGCAGGCTCCCCCGTGCGCCCGGACTACTCCATGGCCCGTTCAAAATGCGCTCTTGCCCTCAATAAAATAATTAATAAAAAAAAAGAATAATGAGGGTAACAAATGTACAAATGTGCTTTATACAATTGATGTATATATGGATTGTGATGAATTGTATGAGCCCCCAATAAAATTACTTTAAAATAAAAAAAAAAAAACAAAAAACAGTAACTATATGAATCAGGGACACCATCACGTTATCAGGCATCTCCTGTTTGGATTAACAGGAGCTAACAAACACCAGATTATCTCAGCAACATGGGGAGGCCTCCCTCCTCGGCCCTGACCAACCAGACAGGCAAGAGGCATGGCTGGAAGGAAGCGGAGGCCAGTGGTGTTCGAAGGCGGCTGTGGGGTCTCACTCTGCAGGCTCAGGGAACCAGGGAGCACACAGGTGGGGATGTCTCAGAGAGAGAACCATTTGGCAGTTTGCTGTCAGGCAGTGCTTAAGCTTTGACCCCCAGGTAGGTGTCTCAGTTTCATCCTGGGAGGCAGCAAACTCAAAGAGTGTCAGAGAATAGCTCTACAGTCAGAATGCATAGGTTATTATTTGACTCCCAGTCTTAGAAGTTCTGCAGCCATGGCCAAGTTACATCACCTCTTTGCAATAGTATTTTTCCATTCATAAAATGGGACCTAAAAATAATAGCTACTTTGAGAATTTCTGGGGGGATGAGATGACACATGCACCATGCTGCTCAAACCGAAACTCGCTGCCACCGAGTCAATTCTGACTCATCACTGCTCTTTTGGGTTTCCAGGGCTTTACATCTTTAGGGGAGCAAATGGCCTCATCTTTTACTCAGAGTGGCTGGTGGGTTTAAGCCATGACCTTATCGTTAGCAACTCAATGTGTAGCCCTCTCTGAAACCCAAACCCATTGCCATCGAGTTAATTCTGACTCATGGCAACCCTACAGAGGGTTTCCAAACAGACTGATCTCTCCTGAGAACAAGTGCAAAGTACGTGAGAGGACGCCTCGGCCGTCTTCACTTCTAAGGAGCATCCTGGGTGTACTTCCCGAATGCCAGATTGGTTTGTTCTTCTGCCAGTCCACAGTACTTTCACTATTCTTCACCAGCACCCTAATTTGAATGCATCAACTCTTCTCCGGTCCACCATATTCACGGTCTGACTTTGGCATGCATGAGAGATGACTGAAAATGCCCTGGCTTATGGCAGGCACACCTCTGTCCTCAAGGGGAGAGTTTTGTCCTTGAACACTTTAAAGAGAAAGAGGTCTTGTGTAGCAGATTTTCCCAATGTAAGACATCATTTGATCTCTTGACTGCTGCTTCCACGAGCATTGTGGATCCAACCAAGATGAAATCCTTGACTTCTCTCTATTTATTTATTGTGTTGTTTATATATCTGAAAATGGGCACTGTCTTCCTCAAGACCGAACGCAATTTACTAAATACGTTTATTTTACATCTGGTACCAGTTTTGATTATTCGTTGCTGTTTTCTTTGTGTTAACTTTATGTATGGCTTACAGCTCTGATTTGAGGCTCCCCATTACTGACAACCGGCTGCCTCCCTCATGACTGCACATCTCCTTAGGGCGACCTGCTGGGCTAATCAGGAAGGAGGATCCACACCATCAAGTATCCTGGCTCAAAACTGATAATAAGCTGGGATTTGCCTGATGATCAAAACGTACCTCCACTGTGAATACATCTTACCCGATACTTTTGCCAGACTAGCCTTTGGGGAATAAATGTCAGGAAGAGTACAACTGAAGGCTGATAAAATGGAAACCCTATGGTCGTTGGCATTTTCAGATTTCTGGCCCAGATGAGAAGGTGCCACAATTTCGAAAACGCTTAACTAGCAAACACACAAAACAGAAAGAGACAAGGACCTACCTCCTTCTGCGGGCCTTTAATTTCTGAACAGTCCTCCAGTCTTTGTAAAACATCCTGGGTAGCAGAGAGTGCCTCTGAGAAGACACTTTCATTTTCCAGAAGAAAATCCAGCTGGTAGCACTTCCTCTCGTTCTCTGAATGTTAAACAAGGAAAAAGACCAGTCAGTCATTAAATAAAAGTGGAAGCTGTTGGTGCAAAGCTGTAGGTCGCAAGTTCCAGCAGACAACAGTGGCTCCCCTCGCTTCCGCACACACTCAGCCGGGTTAAAAGATGAGTGGTCACCAGTAAGCTACATGAAAGGCAGAGCACAGCTTTTCTGGTCTGTAGTCCATCTTCAGGCTCAGAGCACCCACCCCACTTAATATTGGTGTCCTAGCTACCAGTGGTCTCTGGAAATTTTACCTATGTCACAAAAAAATCCCTACAAACCACTGAATCTACTCACTGGCCATGGGGAAACAGCTTAGGAAGCACGTGCTGAATGAGTACTACCTGGCTCTGGGCTTGCCTCTGTCGCCTTGGTAAGGGCTGGGGAGCCCCCCTCCTTGGCAGCAGGTGGCTCCGAGGGCGTTGTGGTGCTCCCTGGAATATCCTGGGCAGTAGGACAATCCACGCTCGACTCCTGAGAAGCCCTCGGGGTGGCCTCCCCAGTCGTGGCTTTCACGGGGTCCCCTGAAGGGGCAGCACCCTCTGGGGGAGCCCAGGGATCCACAGCCCCCCCAGAGGGCAGAATTTCCATTGGAGGCTTCTCGGATTCCTTCCTGAGTGGCTCTGGGGATGGCTCGGCGGCCTCTCTCACCACCTGGCCCTGAACAGATGAGCCGCTGACAAGGCTGGTCAGCAGGTTCTTACAGCTCACGGCCACATCGAACATCTGCAGGCTGTCGGCTAAGGAGATGATTTTGGAGAAGTTGTGCTTGCCCACAGGGAGCTTGCCAGTGTACATCATCTCTAGCAGGAGGGCGAACTCCTCGGGGCTCACCATGGAGGCGTCGATGGAGATGGTGTCTGTGGAATCCAGCAGAGTCTTGAACAGGAGGCTGGCGGCGGCCAGGACAAGTTTGTGAGCGCGGAAGTAGATGGAGCCGATGGAGATGGTGCAGTCACAGAACTGTTGTTCCTTGCACAGGGCGTAGAGCTGCTGCAGCAGCTGCCGGCTGTAGTCGGGGAGCTCCATAGCAGATGCTGCGCTCAGACCTCCCTTTGTCGGGGGCCCCCTGGGGGGGCGGCCTGGAAAAGCCCCAGAGACACCGTGTTAGCACTCAGAGTGCCCAGGGACGCCCCAGGCCTGGACTGCGACCCAAACCAACAGGCAAACACAGGGTGCTCTACAGGGTGTAGGACTGGGCCAGGGACTCCATAATCACGGTAAAGATCAGGTGCCCTGGGGGCGCGGTGGCTAAGTACCCAGCTGCAAATTAAGGTCGGTGGTTCAAGGGCACCAGCCATTCTTAGGGAGGCAGATGTGGCCACCTGTTTCCCTCAAGGGTGCTGTCTCAGAAGCCCAGAGGGGCAGCCCTGGTCTGTCCTGTAGGGTCTCTATGAGTCGGAATCGACTGGAGGCAGTGGGTTTGGTGTTTGTGCTTGATAATTATCATATGCTTAACTATATAAATAAGCCTAGGCTGGATCGTTTACAGTAGTGTTTCCTCAGGTGGGCAATACTGCCCCCTGGTGGGTGGGTTGTTGAAATCATCCAGGAGGGCTACAAAACCAGATACCTAGACTTTGTCCTGGGTAACAGGCGATGCATTTTCAATTGCCAGGAAGGCACTGAGTCATTTTCTCACCTGAAAACTCAAATACACTCACTGCCACCAGGTCGATGCCGACTCGAGGGGCCGGTGGTTCTTGAGTTCTGCAAAGGGTAAAGCCACGTGGGAGCCTGTGGATTATAGAGAAGGCCTTCTTTCCATACAAGACAACGTCAGAGTAAGAACCGGGGTCATGACCAGAGCCTACAAAGTCCTTCATGCCCTGCCTTGCCATGAGCTCGTCAATCCTGCTCCTCCCGCTTCCCCGCCCCTGAGATGCGCGAGCCACTGCTGGCCGTGCTAGTTTGGGAAGCGCCTCAGCATGCCTGGGTCTCAGGGTTCCCGCTCCAGCTACTCAAAAGCAGTCTGGCAGGCCTCCTCTGACCGTCTAAACAGCAATGCTTCTTTATTCTCTTCTATAGCACCTACCACCTACTGACACGCTGTCATTTTACTTGCTTATTATCTATATCCCTTCACCAGAATGTAAGCTCCATTCAGGCATGCATGGTGGTTAAAATTCTGCCTGTCGCACGTATTGTTGGTGGAAGGAACAAATTAATGGGAGAAAATGCAATAATAGAGATTCACACACAAATACCCAATTTGTGGCATAGGAGCTGGAGCCAGAAGCAGAGGAGATGGGCCCGTGTCTTAGAGAGAGGTAGGAAGCCTGCACGTGCAGAGATAAGACACCACCAGGAGCAGAGAGGAGGCAGGCTAGGCAGTGTGACATGCGAAGTGCGGTTACACTGGGACATAAAGCAGGGGGCAGAAGTGTCTGGGGACAAAGCTGCAGGGGGAGGCGAGGTCCTGGCTGCAGAGGGATGGATAGGCCATGTTTACGAGCTTGAAATTCAACCTGAAGGGAATGACCAGTCATTACGGCTCAAAGGCTTTCAGCCTGAGAGTCACATGGTCAGCTACACATTTTAAATACATCACCTAAGTGGTACTTGTGCAGAATTTGAAGGGCATCCTGCTGGAAATAGGTTCCACAACAGCAGGAGTCTTGGGGGAGGAGGCGTGGGAGTCAATGAGCTCTTCAACCGGGAGCTGTGTTACTAGGCAGGAGAGGGGGGAAACCAGAGACAGACCTGGAACTGCCATACTTTAGCAGCAGGGCAGAGGGGAGGGGAGGGAAGGAGCGTCAACTCCCAGACTTCTGATCTGCTAAGTGAACAGGTGCTGGTGCCACCACCTGATCCGGATAAGGAGAGAAATGACAGCTTAGGGGCAGAAACCGTTAGCTCAGGGGCTGGCCTTGGTGGTGTTTATGTGAGGGCAAAATTGTACAGTCTCACTGATAGAAGGGAAAATTACATTTAGAATGAAGAGACCCATGTCAAAATAACAGGGATTGCTTCTGTTAGCAGGACCATGACGCCCACCCCTACCACTGTCAGTCACCATGATTTATATTTCCAAACATGTGAAACAGGCATTTTTTTAAAAAGCAAAGAAATAAAATGACTTCCTAAAGAAGTGTAAATTCTTGGGTCCTAATCCTAATTGACTCAAAGCTTGCCTGTGCTATGTGGCTCTGTGTCCCTGTGGGGTATTGGTGAATTCATATCGTTTTCTCAGCTTCCTCGGAGAGATCTTGGAGAACATCGAGTCTGGTTGCTTCAGTGCAGTTTCTGTTCTAATATTTGAACCATGATATATACAAATGTACACAAGGCTTTTCCTTTAACAGATGAAGAGACAGACCTAGGAGCAGGGGGATTGGGGGGAGGGGCGGCTTGCTGGAATGATAGTAGCAGGATTTGAGTTCATTGCTCCTGGTGCTTGTGAAAATAGGAGGGAAAAGGCATTAAGATTTAAAACAAGCAAACACAGGAACTATTTTTAGAAAAGGGCTAGGATGCTGCAGAAAACTGTAAACTTAACTCATCTTAACATCTAGAGAAATATCAGAACAAGAGTTCAATTTGCACCAACTCTGAACCTGGACCGAGTTTGCTTTTGTCAATAGAACAAATTTTATGAATATAATGAGATGATTTTTTTTCCTAAGACAAGAGTGGCTAATAGCCCTCTGGGATTGCATAAATCAATAGGTATGTTTGGAAAGACATTAGATCTTTTTAAACATACTTATTAATAATAAACTAGTGCTTGGAATTTTCTTTCAGCACAAAATAAAAGAGGTTATTTTATGGTCATTTTTCTGGGGAGGATATTTACCTCTATCATCAGATTGAATCAATAGGAAGACTCCCCTCCCTTAAAGATCCAGGGAGAGATCACTGTGCATATTAACCCCAAGACCAAAAATGCTTCATCTTTTCGTTAACAACTAAACAGAAGAGTAAATTCAGAATAAGCAATTGGCCAAACTGGGGGGTGGGGGTGTGGGGTGGAGAGAGGGAAATTGAACAGAAGTCTGTGGCTTCCCAATGGAGAAACACTAAGAACCTGGTCAAAAGCTTGAACTGAAAAGGGGGATAAGGAAAGTTAAGCCAGGAAGCACTCCAGGGCAGTCGAGGGCTACATGATGAGTGTTACGCCAGCAACGGTGAAAGTTAAAATGTCACTGCAATTAATAGAAAAATCCAGAATACATTTTTGGCAAAATAGTCCAGAGATAATGTAATAAGGCTTCTTTTCCTAATGTAAATACGTAGCAATGCTGGATAAAGTATAACAAAAATGCTTTTAAAATACAAAGCCATGCTTTTAAAAATTAAAAAAGGAAATTCTAAGGCATGTGAAACAAAAGCGTCCTCAAGGCCAGAGAAAGTGGAAACGGGTGCCGTGGTGGGTGGCAGGGCTTGCTGCCCCTAAACAGCCAGGGCTTGGAGGAGGAAGTCTTAAGCTCAGACAAAGGCTGGAAATGCAACCAGGCAACCTAGCCCGCCTTGATAAAGCTCTCAGAAAAACCTCTCTGCTCCTTGGCCCAGGGAAGAAGCAATACAAGTTGCTAATTACACCTGGGCCTGGAGTTGAAAGGAGAAAGGGCACCCACAAGAAATCTAAATGCAGTGGGACGGGATCCTAACTTACACTCTGCTATCGAACCGTGGTGGCAAAGTGGTTACATGTTGGGCTGCGAAGGTCAGCAGTTTGAAATCATCAGCCAGACCTTGGGAGAACAAGGCTTTCTACTCTCCTAAAGAGTTCCTGTCTTGGTAACCCACCAAGAGAGTTCTATCCAGCCCTATAGGGTCACTATGAGTTAGAACTGACTCAATGGCAGTGGGGCTGGTGAGTTTGGGATCACAAAGGAACCCTACATCGAGTGAAAACTGGTCTCTGGCATGCAGCAGAACAATCCTGAAACCATTCCGTAGGAACGAATTCCTAACCCAAGTACAGGGGCTCTTATGGGGGGCGGGCAAAGGGGAGGAGGCAGACCTGAGTGTGAAAGGCACAACGATCAGAGCTGAACACACTGTGTTGGAGGGTCTCTTTGAAGCTGGGGAGGAGAAAGACTTCATAAACGATGCTCCAAAAGCAAATAAAGGTTTCCATCAGCATGTTCTACAGACCCGATTGACAGACAGGTGGCAAAACTGGACAAGGGCATTTACAAATGATTTTAAAAACGACAAAGAAGTAATATCTGGAGTATATGTGAAATGCCTGCAAATCTGGTGTGTGTTTGTGGGGGGTGGTGGGAGGTGGTGGTGGTGAAATCCACACACAAAGTATGCAAATTATATATCGACCCAGTTTAGAGTCGGGAGTTAACACTGGTGCCGATTAGGAAAGGTTTTCTATATGCTTTGCCTGTAAGGAGGCTTCAAAAACTTTGTAGAAAAACAGAACAAAAAGATCATTAATGGGCTTTTTCCCATGAACTTTTGAAGCCCCCTTGTATATTAATTCATTTTCTCTTCTTAAATACTTCATGAGTCAAGTATCTTTACTATTTCCTTTTTACTGTTGGGGAGCCGAAAGGTCCAAAGTGCTTACAGAAGCTAGATGTTAACCCAGGGCCCTCTTGGTGGGAATATAATACGATAAAGCTGTTTTGGAAAAGCAATCTCGTAAAATTAGCTCTACAAATGCTCCATGCTCCAGGAATTCCACTTACTGGATACATATCCTAGGGAAAATCCTCACAGAAGTCCATGAGAAAACCTGGCTAAGACTGGTAGCAGGGACATGAGGGACAACTTCAATGTTCTTCACTAAATGAATGTATAAGAGAATAGGCAGGATGTATATACAAAAACCATGCATCACAAAGAAGCAAAAACTAATATAGGCAGCATCGTGGATAGATCTTAAATATCCAATGCTGACTGAAAAAAATAAGAAAAGAAGGAGATCTAGAGGAAAAGAATATTTAAGTAGTTTTAAAATCACAAAATCAAAAGCACACCAAATACTGGATAAGGCTATATATACATTTTATCAAATGTGTTAGAGTAGGGAAATACATAACAGTTTTCTAGTTAACTAGTGCTACTGTAACAGAAATACCAAGCAACTGGCTCTTATTAATTGTCTTAGTTTTTCAGTTTA